TTCCTCAGTCCTGGGATCGTGAAAGAAAAAAAAACAAAAAACGTCATGACCCTTTCAATGCTTGTGCAAATTTGATACGAAATCAGGGCTGCAACTTAAACATCCATTAATAGGAGAATCTGCAAAGTATGGCTCGTCTGCATAACGAAGTACTAAGCAGCTATGAACTGTGTATACCATATACACACACTAACTGGAAAATATGTTCACTGCTTAGTTTAGTTGTGGGGAGAGGCACACTGATAAAAAATGCTGCTCCTTTGGTCCCCCAGGGGACAGTTCTGAGATACATATCTCCTAAGACCCCTCAGGAGGTACCAGCAGGATCTAGCACCAGTTACCCACTGCTCCATTCAGTAATGCATTCTTATAATACCTGTCTTTCTTCCCTTGCTTCCCCCGCCTCCCCAAGTCCTTACTCCTGCTTCCTGGGACCACTGCCCCAAGTCACTGCACACAGCCCTTGTCTCAGGCTTTGCTTTTGAGAGAAGCCATGGGAAAAAACTGTCAAATGAGAGAAGGGTGTTTAGAGCTGCTGCACCCAGCTTGCAACCATGAGGGGAAGACCAAGAGACCTGCAGAGAAGCGGACCCAGAACCACAGCATTGCCGGGCTACAGAACTCCCATCTACCTCTAGACATCTTAGTCCAGGAAAAGAATAACCCTCTATTAAGTCACTTGCAGTTGGGTTTTGTGTGATTTGCAGCCAAAAGTACTTCTTGGGAGTATTTTATTCAGAGCTGACAGCAGAGGAATAAGGCCTCTGTGTTGGGAAGCCTGGGGGGAGGGGGCGTAGCGAGGCAGCTTCTAGTGCCCCGAGTTCCAGCTTGGGGAGAATGCTCGTCTGAGAGAAGCAGAGACAAAAGACAAAGACAGTCCTGTGGTTTAAATTCTTCTGCCAGTGAATTCCTCTTTTTGCCTAAAATAGTTGATGTATAGTTTCTATCACTTGCAAACAAAAATCCTGCCTAATTTAAGTATGAGCTCATTCTTGTTTTACAAAAAAAAAAAAGTGGCTATTTATGTTCATGTAAGCATGGAAAAAATAAAAATGGATGTACTAAATGGCTACCAGTAGTTAGCCTGAGGGAAGGACATATGTATCACTTTTACAAACTTCTTCATGTTTAAATTTGTTGTAACCAGCTTGTATAATTTTGGTAGTATTAAAACACTAAAAGCTGCAGAAAGTGAGATAAAAAGTGTGCTGTTTTATGCTGTTACTTTGGGATATATTGAAAACAAATACATGTCATTATAAACCTGAGAACCACTGCTTGCAAACCATCCAACAAACCTGATAGACAACCACAAATCCCAATGCCTGCGTAAAACCAGTAACTGTGTGGAGTGAGGGACCGATGCTGGGAAGTTGTATCCAATTGGTCTGTCACCATGGCTCCCCAACCCCAACACACACACACACACACACACACACACACACATTACTTCCATTATTTCTCCCCAAATCCAACCCCAATAAGCCCATAGTCTAAGTTAAAAACAAACAAACACAACAATGTGCTTGTTATGCAAATACAGCTTCAAAGCAAGCTCATCCACTCACCCCTTTCCATCGAATGCATTTCCAGACAGAAAAATCTAGAACTGTCACAGCTCCATGAGTCTGTGTAAATAGCCTGGAGTGTCGCTAAAGGAGGTGGGAAGCGTGCTGGGCCAACCTAAGCACACAGGCTGATGGGAAGAAGCCAGGACCAGAGAGGATGGGGCCATGGGAAACTGATACAGCTGGCTCAGGCACAAGCCACTTGGTAGGTGGACCAAAGCACATAATCACAGGGACATGACATTCTCGGTGGAGATGGGGTCAGCATGTGGAGCACAGACAGCTAAAAGAAGCGAGGTGACAGTTCTGCATGATGCCAGCAGAACCCCAGGTGGTGGTTGGAGGATGCCAGGAGTAGAATACTCATAGAGGGAGACGACCAGCAAGATCATGTGTGCAGGTGGGGGGTTTGAGGCAGTGTCTGGTGATAGGTGAGGCCCAGAATTCTGGGCAGGGATACTGAGGCAGAAATTCGGGGTATGAATAGTAAGAGCTACTTACCACATGCCAAGTGCTTTAAACTCATACTTCACTTAATTCTCCCAAAAACCTTGTGAGGAGGGAAGTTTTATCATCTCTGTTTCTCAAGTGAAGAAACTAAGATAGACAGAATATATATATTTGCTTGAAATCACATAGCTAGTATATTAGTTAGCTAGGGCTGCCATAACAGAATAACCCAGGCTGGGCGATTTAAACAACAGAAATTTATTTTCTCAGCATTCTGGAGGCTGGAAGTCCAAGGTCAAGGGCCTGGCAGGGTTGGTTTCTGGTGCAGCCTCTCCTCCTGGCCTGCAGTGGGCTGCCTTCTGGCTGTGTCCTCACATGGCCTTTCTTCTGTGCACAGATGGAGGGAGAGGTCTCTGGTTTCTCTTCCCCTTCTTATAAGGACACCAGTCCTATCGGATTAGGACCCCATCCATATGATCTCATTTAATCTTAATTACCTTCTTAGAGGCCCTATCTCCAAATATGGGTGCATTGAGAGTTAGGGCTTCAACATATGAATTTGGGGCGGTGGGGGGGGGGTGCGGGGAGAGAAACACAATTCAGTCCATAAAAGCTAGTTAGGAGCAAATATAGACAGCATGACTCCAGGGCCTAATAGTCTTTGTGTGTATTTTTATATTTTACTGAGGTATAATTTAAATATAATTCAATGAGTTTTGAATGCGTACATCCACATGATTCACATTCCTAGCAAGAACTGTACAGTACCCTTAACTATGACACTCTACCAGAGTATCTGAGGACAGGAGGTGATGCCACTGGTAGATTGCATGGCAGCCAGGCCTCATCCTCGGCACTGTAGACACAAGGCTCACTCGCAGCAAGACGTGCTTCTGAGCTCCCTCCCACCCCCCACACCCACCCCACCCCCCACTCCCCCACATGCGGTTCCTCCTGGACCAGCCCTCAGGCTCTGCTGCTCCACTCTGCATCCCAGGAGACTAATCCTTGCCAGCTGTGTTTCTCGGGGTATTTCTCCCCCTCCCTCTCTGCCTAAGGCAGTGTCTCTGGCATCTCCTCTGAGCCTCCAGCTCCCACCAGGCAGTCCCACCATGGCTTTCCACCAGATGACCCTAGTGCCTTCTCCACTTTGGTAAACAGGCGCCACCTCCCTGTAAACCTCCAGTTTAGAAGTGGCAGTGGCGTCCTGCTGTTGTTATTCTTTGGGTTATGTTGCCATCCATTGTTTGGCTTCTCAGCTCTTCCATCTCCTATATAAACAGTTATCTGCATTCAATCCCCAGTTTCAAATATTCCGCATGCTGTCTCTCTTCCTGGTTACACTCTCCTAGTACGCTGAAATATCCCCTACTTGTCAGAACAGGCTCAGAAACTGGGACAATTCCAGGCATTAGAGGGAGCCCATGCACAGAGGCTGGTAGGTGCTGGACTCATGAGCACAGATTCCTCTAAGAGGATACCAGAGATCGTATTTACATTTGTTCTCTACTTGTTGACATCTTGGTCCATTTTGTTAGCAAATTAGCACTTTGCTCCAATTCGTTTATTGCCCATGGCTCACCTGTTTTCCAGGTGGACCTCTGCTAGCTGTCAAGACTAGAAATGCTTCTATCACCTGCTTCTTCAGCTAATGTCATGACACTAAGCTATTAATTGGATTTGTCAAACTGCCACATATTTATTTATTTATTTATTTATTTATTAAAAGATTTTATTGGGGAATTGGGGAAGGGGGACAGCCAAGTTGTTGTTCTTCAATCCTAGCTGTGGAGGGCGCAGCTAGCTCAGCTCCAAGTCCAGTTGCCATTGGGCCACCCATTGGCAGCTCGGGGAAGCTTAGCTCAAGGTGCCATGTTCAATCTTAGTTGTGGGTGGGCCTAGCCCACCATACCATGCGGGAGTTGAACCGGCAACCTTGTTAGGAGCATGTACTCTCACCAGCTGAGCCATCCTGCCACCTGCTGGCAGCTCAGGGAAGCTCAGCTCCGGCACAGCTCACTGGCCCATGTGGGACTCGAACTGGGAACCCTGTTGCTCAGAGCTCGCACTCTTAACCAACTGAGCCACTCAGCCGGTCCTGCCACACATGTGTTTGTCCAAATGAAATGGCTGGGGAGAAAACAGTGAGTGAGTAGGGCAAGATAGGACACTAACACTGAGGAAACTTTCACAGCTGGTACCCACCTGGTACCAGCTGGTATCCTGCCAACCAGTTGGGGGTGGGAGAGGAAGCCACTGTAGAGGCTTAAAAGAGGCAAAATGCCGGGTCAGCTCTGGGTCCAGCTTACAGCAGCTTTGGCTAACTGTAAAATCTGCATCGAGTAGATCCCCAGGACTGCAGCAGAAGGACCTCCATCTCTAGTTTGGCTGCAGATCTAAGCCTTGTCTTCCAAGAGCCTTTGACTTGAGGGAGGATCAGGAGGCAGACTGCACCCACTGGCTCGCGGCCCTACATCCAGGGACTTCTCCAGAACTGCAATGGTTGTGAGTCAAACTTCCTGTCCTCGGCTCACACCACCTAAGTAATGAGCTGTTGGCCTGTCCGGATTGCAGACGTAGGAGCCCTGCCGTCAGCGGGTAAAAACCAGATAGTTCCCACTTCTCCTTCCCTCTCTCCGTGATAGATCACTTTAGTCTGGAGAACTGTCGTGAACCAATGGGGCAGCTAATGGGAGAAATGTAACACACACACACACACACACACACACACACACACACACACACACACACACACACCAAAAAATAAATAAAGGAAGAAAGAATCCTGTTAGTCACAGAGCTTTTCATCTGAACCGCAGAACAGGCTCTTGCTCTGTTAGAATAATAAAATCACAGTCTTGCACTGTTTTGGCTCCTCAAACAAAAGCAGCTCCCCAGAATGCAACTCTCCAGGACGTCTGAGTTGGATTTAGTTCTCATGCGGAAAGGCATACATTCAAAGGAGAGACAGAGTAGCCTTAAGAAAGTCAAAGAAATAAATAAGCTTGTTATTCAAACAAGGAGAACACAGGCTGTGGGGCAGCTCTCCTCCGCGGTTGATTCAACACCTGGTGAACACACAGCATGGTCTCCGCCCAAGCTGGCATTTTCCCACAGTGGACCAGCACCTGCAGAGGTCCCGCGGAACGCCAGGGCTGTCTGTTAGACCTGGGGAAATAGGGTGAGAAGAAAGGGCAGGGAGAGATACTTGATTCCAAAGGAAAATCACAGGAACCAGAAGTTATTGTAAGAGAAGGACCTCAAAGCAGGCGGCTGGATCTGTTTTAAGGATACAGAAATACTCTTTGTGGAGAAATATTTAGGGAAAAAAAGAAAGAAAAAAAACACACACACAAAGAGTGCATGAGGATCATATTATAGGAACAAAATGTTCTCTCCAAAACCAAAAGCCGTTACGGAATCGGTTGTTTTAACGTCACGTGAGCCTGAGCATGTTACCTAAGCAGCAGTCCTGTGAGGTAAAGAAATGTGGGCTCGGGTACCTCCATTTTACCATTCTTCATCCACCCCACCCCCATCTCACTTCGCTCCTACCTTCAGCACCCCCTTTCCCCAAAGTCACCCAGGACTCAGAATCCTCTGAAAAAAAGTGTTCCTCTAAATTATTCATAGTACAGTGCTACTGACTTCCTATCTTTCCCTTCCCAGAAGCATTTGCTATGTAAGAATCCAATGAAAAATGAGCAATGCTTGAAACACATAATGAATCACTCCTGGTAAAATTTCAGGCACTTGTAAAGATTTCACTGGGGGCGTGGGGAGTCTCTTGCCCACACCCTAAATGATACCATGTATAAAAATATTCTATAACCTTGACTTCTTTTAGAGCACTAATCCACATTGTATTGGTGTGAGAACATTATTTTTAAAATGCTGACTTTCAAAAGTTGAGATCACAGCTTTCAATCACAATACCCATGTGACTAAAGAAGGCCAGCAGAAAAATATTTAGGAATTTATTTCAAACTTGCGTTCTCCTCATGTTTGAACTTTTGTATCAATAAAGGTATGAGAAAGCTGTTTTCAATAACCAACAAACCTTTCTAAAACCCTCTTTGATCTTGCCACGTTTCTTTTCTACCAGTGCACCAAACAATTTTGGCAGTATTTTACCCAAATCACATGCTGCCCCCAATAGGGATAAAATCCATCGAATAGTAGTTTGATGTCCATATTCAGAATTATAAGGGATTCCTACAGTAATATTGACATTCTCGTTCCTGACTATGGTAGACTGTGGCCAAAGACGGCTACACTACAACACATGCTCTTTTACAATATGACTGTGCCACGCCTCCCATCAGATGGAATCTACTCCCTCTCCCCTTTAACCTGGGCTCGCTTTGTGACTAGCTTCACAACAGGATCTGGCAGAAGGGACTCAGTGTGATTTCTAGGCTGAGGTGTTAAGAAGCCTTAGAGCTTCCATTTCACCTTCTTGGAGCCCAGAGACTTCAGATAAGGAAGTCCAAGGAGCAGGGAGGTGTCCCCCCCCGGACAGCCAGCCCTAGACCTGTGAGTGAGGCCATCCTGCGTCCTCCAGCCCTACTCACAACCAGCCAACACGTGCAGAGCACAAGTAAGCCTTCCCCACTGAGTCCTGCGCAAACTGCCGATCTACAGGATCATAAGCCAATTTGTGCTTTAGGCTACTGTGTTTTGGGGTTATTTGCTACATACCGGTAGACAACCAAAACCCTGATCTTACACAAAAATGACTAAATTGTATACAGCTATCCAGATCTGACACATCAAAGGTGAGACACTTGACCTCAGAAAGCATAATCTGTCTTAGTACAAAAATTAAATAATTAAAGTCAAAATTATGCTCTGAATCAGAGACTTCTCCTCCAATATCCATGCTTTCCTTCTTCTACGGCAGTGGTTCTCAAAGTGGAGTCCTGGACCAGCAGTCAACAACACACAGGAACTGGTTAAACATGCAAATTCTTGGCCTCCTGCTGAATGAGACGCTCTGAGGCTGGGGCCCAGCAATGTGTATTTCAACAAGTCCTGCAGGTGATTCTGATGCATGCTGAAGTTAGAACCACTGTTGTACAGCAATAAAACTTCTGATGTTTAACTGGTATACCTGGCCTGGCTAAAGACCAGGTAAGGTGGCTAGGTAAGGCCATGATGAAGTTCTGGCCAGAAGAAGGAAGCAGAAATGGGAAAAGGCCTGTTCCCTTCCCTGGCCCTTTCGCCTTTACGCTGGCTGGAATTCACATGTGATTGCTAGAGCCCCAGAAACTGTCTTAGCCCAGGAAATGATCCTGGGAAATGAAACGATGCACAGCAGAGCAAGAAGATGAAGAAGCCCAGGACCCTGACGCGATGGAGCTGCCTCCTTAACTCTGATTAACTCCCTGACTTCCTTAATGTGAGAGAAATGTCAATCTTGTTTAAGCTCCCGTTTTTTAAAGTTCTGTCCCTCACATTTAAATCTGATCCTAACTTATACACCATCCTGACTGTGTAGTCCCCCTTCCCATCACCAGAGATACTCTTTAATATATTTTATTTCTTTTGCTTGTCACAGCTACCCTTTAGATAATTTCTTTAGTTGCTTAGTCACTGTCTCCCTATTTGACAGGAAGCTCCAGGCGGGCAGATTTGTTTTGTTTATCAGCATCTAACACACTTCTGCCCTCACAATAGAGACGGTGAATAGTTACTGAATTGAATGGCCAGATGGAAGGATGGATGTAGGCACACCGAATTTTGTACACAGTCTTTCAACAATGATAAACCAACAAGTCTCAAAATAAATCTTTCTTTTAAATACTGAACATCCAGCAAAACTATCCTTCCCCCACATCCCACCTCGGTTCCACATTTTAATCTGAATATGAAGCAATAAGATTAATAACTAATACTTTTATATGTCTTAATATCTGCCAAGGACAAATTCCAACAGAGGGCATCCTATAATATACCTAACCAATATGCCCCCAAACTGTCAAGGTCATCACAAACAGGAAAGTCTGAGAAACTGTCACGGCCAAGGGAGCCTGAGAAGACAAAGACTACTGAGTGTAACGTGGTATCCTGGATGGGATCCTAGAACATAAAAGGATACTAGGTAAAAACTAAGGAAACCAGAGTAAATTCCAGACTTTAGTTACAATAACATATCAATATCGGCTCACTACTTGTAACACATGTGCTACACTAATGTAACAGGTTAATAGGAAAACTGGGGAGGGGGCTAAGTGATGGGAGAGGCTATAAGTATATATTCTCTGTGCCATCTGCTCATTTTTTCCTGTAAATCTAATATTGTTCTAAAAATGAAGTCTATTAATAAAGGAAATATGCCAGAGACTTACATACATTAACTCCTGTTACATATATTAATTCTCATAAAGACTGAGACAGGTGCTATGAAGAGCCCTATTTTACAAGTACAAAAGAGTACATTAAGTCCTTGAGGCTTAGAATATATGTTTCTTCTGGATCAAAATTCATTTGATTCAGTCATTTAAATTCAGTGTATTGATTACTGTGTGTTAGCCAGAGACTGAGCTTAGGTGATTTTATGAAAAGAGTCAAAATTAGGAAGGCAGAAAGGGCTTTGTGTCTGCCTGCTTAAATTTAAAAGGCACAAGCAAACACTTTAGAGTATGTACAATTCTGAAACGTGTTCTATTTTCATGTTGACAGCACATACACATCTCCAAAAGCTAGAAACAACTGAGCTTGACATCTAATTATCAAGAGTTATTATTTAAATATGAAGCCACCGGATGGCGCATATCGTGAAGAACACATAAATCATACATCATAAGTTACAAAGCTGATTCAGGGGTGGACTTGTGTCTCATCCCAAGTACCAAAATAGCTAAGGCTCGATCTGTGAGGATGATCCCTGGTCTGACCTGAAAGAACACCTCAAATGAGACAAATCTCTATGTCACTGCGTTCCTTTCTAAAGATACTCACTGTAAACTTCCTTAGCTACTATTTTGGCTAGCAGAAGCTTAACATTTTCATTACTGAGTACTCTGTTGACCAACACAAAGACATGGCACTTGGCTGGCCAAGCTGAAATTCTGGCCCATGTACTTTGACCACGTAATACTGTCAGTGCTTGCTACGTCGCCATACACCCAGCAGAAATACAGCTTGCTGAAAATTTTTTTTTTGCAAAGTGTATGACCTATGGGGTTTGACTTCCATACTCTAAACTGTAATCAGGTAATGTCCAATCTAGACATCCAGCTGAAACAGGGAGCACTTTGCATCTGTGATTTCATTACTTCTCATGGTTCCCCCTCAGCTGCCTCACTAATTCCTAAAAGTTCAGCTAAGGCATAGCTCCTTCACAAAGTCTTTCTTAACCTGCTCAGTGTGAGCCATTTCTAGACACTCCCGTGGCACCTTGTGCTGACCTCAGTCAGAGGATCTGCCACAAGTCGGTACAATTCAACAAGTATTGAATGCATACCCATAAGGCACTGCTCTAGGCATTTGGAAATCATCCGTCAACAAGTCAAAGATTGCCTGCCCTTATGAGGAAAAACAGATAACAAACAATAAACTATAATAAGTACATTTTATAGTATGGTATACTGAGAAGTACTATGGGAAAAGAAAATGTGGAGTGGATTAAGGGGGATGGAGTGGACTGGAGTACAGAGGAAGATTCAGGTTGCTGTATTAATTAGGATGGCCAAGGTAGGCTTCAGTGAGAACACAAGATTTGAGCAAAGGCTTGAAGGAGCTGAGAGGGTTAACTCTAGAGATCCAGGAGCTAGAAAGAGAGCAAGATCCTCAGGCAGGAGCACGTCTGGTGAGGCTGGGAAACAAACTGGAGGCTGTTGACCAAAATGAATGGGGAGCAAAATACCCCAGAGGGGAGTAGGAAGGGGAGAGAGAGGTGAAGCAGGAAACATCGTCCATTAAATAGGGCTTAGGGGCCAACATAGAGACTTCGCCTTTTACTCTGAGTGGAGTTATGCTGGGTTTTGAGTAGAGGAGAGACAAGATCTGACTGATTTTTGCAAGATTCACTCAGGCCACTATGTTGAGAATAGAAATGTAGGAAGATTGGGGGAGGCACAGACAGAAGCAGAAAAACCTGTTAGGAGATAATTATAGGTGAGATTTGAGGATGCCTCAGGCTAGTGAAGTAGCAGTAGAGAGGA